GTCAACCGCTGACCTCTGAGGTCAGGTCGAGTGACCCAAGGCACGGGCTCAGTTTTTCATACACAGCTTTGCAAAAAAAAAGGTGGCAGAGCCGCAAATTTGGCATCGTCGTGTTTGCCTCGCTTAGGCGCGTCGAATGGTATACTTTTTGTTTGGGTGAGCTCAAGTTCAGATGTTGGCCTCGGGTCAAGGTCAGGTCAGCGTTTCCCAGGTCACGAGGCTGGTCAAAGGAGGTCATGTCGCATACGACTCGATTTGGGAGGTCCTTTTGAGTCCATTGGTGGCTCTCCTGACCCGCTAGCTCAATTTGATCGGAGTTTTTGGCGAAAAAAAAAACTCTTATGACCCTAGTGACGTCATAAATGACGTCATGCAAGGTCAACAATGCAAAAGTGAGGCATCGAGCCTTGCAAGGAGTGCATGAAATCACGATACGATTCCGTGTGCTTGAGATAGTTAGCTTAGGATCATTCTTGGCGCCAAAATAACAGTTTATGCATTTTCTCATTGACTTAGAATGGTGAGGTCACGTGACCGACCTGACCTTATGTGACCTTGACGAAAAATCAGAGATTAAAAGCTGTGAGATCTCTAGGGGCTACAAGTCTAGGTCTAGGTCATGCAAATCTTAATTCCCTTTGAAAGCGCACTGATTTCATGCACTCTCATTGCAAAGCACTATTTTTTAGTTAAAAAATAGTCCTAAAATCCTAAAGATTTTAGGACCGTGCAGGGGTTCACTTATGACGTCATAGGTCGGTGACCTGAACGGATCTAAACATGCAGTTGGTTTTACCAAATCTTTTTCTCATTTTAAAAGGTCTACATAGTTCCTTCGCCATCAAAGGAAGTCAAATTCACTCATGAGTGGACTCAGTTTCGAATTCTGTCAATTTGGCGGTCAGCGTCGCTGGCAACGGTTAACGAGTATGGTCGGATGTGACACGTATACTATAACTTCGCGGTTCGTCGGAAAGTCATTTCATCCACAAAAGAAATGAAATATACCATTCGAAAGCTGGCGGTGAGCTGATTCCAAAAATGTATTTTTTTATCGAAACCGTTCGATGGCCTTTTCCAAAAATTGCGTTTTTGTAAAAAAAAACGCAATATTTTTTATTGTACGAGCTGTTCAGGACATTCTTGAGATCATAGGCATGTTTTTTCCAGTGAAAGCTGAATGCCAAAAGAAGAATATGTAGCGAAAAATATTCTCAATTATTAATATGTGTCTCTCACAGCCGGCAACAAGGCGCAATCACACAACTCAGTGCCACGATGGATCAAAATAAGCCACATAAAAGCGTGAAAGACCCTTATCGACGCGCAGACCAGCGCTCTCGGCTGTCTGACGGGCCGCGGAAGGGAGGTTCGGCTGTCGCCCTTCTAAACGGACGTCATATTTGTTAATTTAACGATTCAAGTCGGTACTTAAGTTATTCAGGATACCTGAGAGGAAGATTCATTGCTCTGTCATTTTCACATCATGTATGAATTTGCATTCGTTTAACCCGCGCACCGACGGGGGGGGCGGATATCCGCCCCCCCCCTGAGGTTTTTCGCGAATAGCGGGAAAACCGCGGCGCGTAGCGCCGCGAAATTTGGTATGACTATTCCCTTATCAATTTTACACATGGTGTGCAAGTTTGAACCTCCTACCTTTCAAGGTCAGGTCACCAGGTCACTTTGAATGACCCAACCTCAAGTCACTTTTTTGCAACTTTGTCACCGTGCCAGAGCTACAGTAGATGTCGGAGGCCTTTGAAAGTCGCAGGATGTTATCAGGTCATTAGTAGCTACAATTTGTATATCTCGGAATTTTGATATCGGTGACCTAAGGTCAGGTCAATTTCGCGACCTCCCCATTATAAGTCAATGGGGGAAAAATCAACTCCCTGTTTTTACCACTAAAACGGGTCGGAATGGCCCCATATACCATACATGACTTCATATACGATCAACCTTCACTACCTTGAGGTCTGTTTTGCTGTTGGGCAGCTGTGAGGTCATGTGACGTCATCAAAGGTCACCAAAGGTTTTTGGCCAATAACTCCGTACAGGAACAAGATACAGACGCGTGGATGGTCTCATTGTGTTCAGCTCGTCAAGACGCATCGAATGATATACATGATGACCTCGAAGTCACGTGACCTGAGGTCAACCTTTGACCTTGACCTTTCGAGGTCAACATATATATCATTCGATGCGGATTGACAAGAGGATCACGATGATGCCCTTAGTTTGTTCCTATCTTGACTAATTCGAAAGTTATTAGAGAAAAACTCTCTCCATATTCAGCGCCGCCATTTTGACTTTTTCGACCCCTGTGACGTCATCTTTGACCTGACCTGAAAATGACCTTAGTAAAAATTGTAGATCTTGACCGTGCGTATCCGATGCCGTTTACCGCTTGTCGCTATCTTGCTTCGTTCTCGAGATCTCAGGGGGGGGGGCGGTCATCCGCCCCCCCCCCCCCGTCGGTACTAAGTTGGCGCAGACCCCCGTCGGTGCGCGGGTTAATATGTCCATATGTCCACTTTGCTCAACTCAGCTAGTCATTAGGAAAGTTGGCCCCGCTGAGCTGTCAGAGGTTGTACCGGCCTCAGCTGGGCTGGAGTGGGAATAGCGCCCACCCCGCTAACTTTCCTGGCGCGGGCATTGAGCGCACGGGGCGGAGTAAAACCTGCATAAGGAAATGTAAGTTAAAGCATGTTGTAAATCTAGTGGAACGATGAACTTTCGTCGCAGGTATCCTGAATAACTTTGATAGCGATATGGATAGTTAAACAAACAAATATGACACTTGTTTAGCAGGACGAGACTAGAACGTTTCTTCCGTGGCCCGTCAGACTGGCCTATAGTGCCGGGTCTTCGAGTAGATAAGGGTCATTTCACGCCTCTGTGTGGCTGAACTTGATCCATCGTGATGCTCAGTTGTGTGATTGCGCCTTGTTGCCGGCTGTGAGAGGCGCATATTAATATTTGAGAATATTTTTTGCCGCATATTGCTCCTTTGGCATTCAGCTTTCACTGGAAAATGAAAAATCATGCCTATGATTTCAAGAATGCCGTTGCTTAAAAATTATTACCATTTGATATAAACGCAATTTTTGAAAAAGGTCATCGAACGATTTCAATAAAAAAAAATAATTTTTTTGGAATCAGCTCACAGTCAGCTTTCGAATGGTATATTTCGTTTCTTTTGTGGATGAAATGACTTTCTGACGAACCGTGACATATTGAATATCAGCGTGGGTTTTCTTGAAGCTCTCGTAGGCCCAGCATTGGCTGGCATGAGACCCTCTTCGGCAGTGGCGAGTGGGCCCTGCCAAATGAGCGTGGCTCTACGACACTTAACCCGCGCGGGGCTGGGGGGGGGTAAATTTTACCCCCCCCCCCCCTCGCGAATTTTGGCAATATCTCAAAAACGGCGGCGCGCAGCGCCGCCAAACTTTCAGTACCTTTTCTTACATCAATTTGACACGTTCCCTGAAAATTTGAGCGAAATCCGTCGGAAACTTTTTGAGAAATTGACGTTTTAGTGACGTCATGTTCGCCATTTTCGCCTAAAAAACGGCAAAATTTCAAACGCCGCTAACATCTTCATTTTTAAAGGAATCAAGACGTAACAAAAAAGGTTATACGCCTTTCTACTTTGTCTATCAAATGGCTATCTCGGTTTTTTGAAAATTTTGGATTTTGACCCAATTTTTTCAAAAAACTGACTTTTTTGGGAAAATAGTTATAAAATCCAAAATTTTGAGTGTATCGAAAAAAACGGAATATATGTCAGAGAAGTGGTCTATGTGCACCTATATACCAATTTTTAGAAGAATCGGTTCAAAAATGTGGGAGTTATTCAAAATTTTATGACGTCAATGCCATCCAATCATGCTCATCCAAGAGGAAGAAACATGCAAATGTGAACTTCTACATGAATCGCCAGGCTTTCCAGCTGAGGAAAAAGAAGAAGTTGCTTTGGAGCACCTACTGTCGTACCCAGAGCCTGCTTGACCACGCCCGCTTTAAGCGCTGCAGCAATGAGCTGAGGAGGCTGACCAGGAGTCTTCGCAAGGATTATGAGAGGAAACTTGCTGCAGACCTAAAGCACAACCCAAAAGGATTCTGGAGGTACACCAACACCAGACTCCGGACCAGAAGCTATCTTGCAACCATGAAGGACAAAGACGGCTCTGTTGTCTCAGATAGCCAGAAGATTGCAAATATCTTGAACAGTTTCTTTGGCAGTGTCTTCACGGTTGAAGGACCTGGCACTACACCGACTCTAGACGGCAGCTTCAACGGTCCGTCACTGGAAGATGTCGATGTGTCTCCCCAGAAGGTTGAAGCAAAACTGGCTGCACTAAACCCACGAAGCTCCCCAGGGCCTGACAGTATCCGACCCAGTGTACTTCGTAACTCTGCGCGCGTCTTATCTCACCCCCTCAGTCTCCTCTTCAGGAAATCTCTGGACTCTGGATGTCTACCCGCAGAGTGGAAGACAGGGGAGATAACGCCCATCTTCAAAAAAGGAGATCGTCAGGAGCCATCAAGCTACAGACCCGTGAGTCTCACTGCAGTGCCGTGCAAAGTGCTTGAGTCACTGGTAAGGGACAGCCTACTTGCACAATGCACACCTAACCTCAACTGGCCAGCTACATCAGGCTCAGCATGGGTTGCTCCCCAAAAGGTCTTGCACCTCACAGCTCCTGGGGGTGATTGAGGACTGGACTGCTGCCATGGAAGAGGGAGTACCTGTTGATGTGGCGTACTTAGACTTCGCCAAGGCATTCGATTCGGTACCACACAAGCGACTCCTAGGCAAGTTGAGGTCTTATGGTGTGTCGGGTCGACTCCTGAACTGGATCCAATCCTTCCTGTTTGAGCGCCTTCAAAGGGTGGCTGTTCGGGGATGCAAGTCAGCCTGGGCTCCAGTAACAAGCGGCATTCCGCAAGGCACCGTTCTCGGTCCTGCACTTTTCACAGTGTATGTGAATGACATGCCAGCACAGGTCACCAACACAGTGAAGATGTTCGCAGACGATACCAAGCTGTACTGCAAGATGACTGCCAACCACGATGGCCTGCAGGACGACATCGACGCTCTGGTCCGCTGGTCGGAGACATGGCTGCTCCCCTTCAATGGTGCGAAGTGCAAGACCATGCACCTAGGCTTCCACAACCCAGACCGCACGTACCACTTGAATGGAACTGCTGTCGCCGCCTGCGAGGAGGAACGAGACCTAGGTATTATCATCGACAGGCAGCTAAGATTCCACAAGCAGACAGCCGCTGCCGTCGCCAAGGCTTCACAGATACTCGCAGTGATCCGTCGGTCGTTTGCGAACCTGGATGAGTTCACTTTGCCTCTTCTTTTCAAGGCCTTAGTCCGACCCTTCCTCGAGTTTGGGAACGCCATCTGGGGTCCATTCTCCAAAGAAGACCAGAAGAGACTGGAGAGAGTGCAGCGACGCGCGACCCGCCTGATCACGGACCTCAGAGACCTGCCGTACCCTGACAGGCTTCGCCGCCTCGGCCTCCCATCGCTGCACTACCGCCGTCGCCGTGGAGATATGGTGACCGTGTACCAGCTCTTCCACGGACTTCTGGATGTGCCGCTTGAGTCACTGCTGACGAGACACGAAGCGCAAAACACGCGAGGCCACCAGTGGAAGCTGAGGAAACCAAACGCCAAACATCTTTCTCGCAGGAACGCGTTCAGCGTCAGAATCATCAACGATTGGAACGCCCTGCCAACAGACGTCGTCGCTGCTGAGTCGCTGTCGTCTTTCAAGGCGCGGCTGGACCGGCACTGGTCGAGCGTGATGTTCGACATCCCTACCCTGTACTAAGGACCATAGCCTCTCCGATTATGCCTTTCACTCGATACGAGCGGGACCCATAGGCCGAGTGGCCTTATAACCCGATGACCAACTAAGGTAAGGTAAGGTAAGGTAAGGTCACGACACACAAAAAAAATTGAAAAATGAATTGTTTGGAAGTTCTAGACCTCGTACGGAAACAAAAATAACACCATTCGATTCGCCGTGAAAAGCTGCATCAGATAGACACCTTTTTAGGCCTTAACAACCAACTTTAAAATTTGACCTCACTTGACCTGACCTTGACCTGACCTCGACCTGAAATTCATCCAGAGGTGGTCCATATCACTTATTCAGTATGCCTATTGAATTCTATGAGTAAAATGACCCATAAAACATGTGTCGCACATGCCCTTTTCTATATTTTGTTTTTGGTGACCTGACCTGACCTGACCTGACCTGACCTGACCTGACCTGACCTTGACCTCGACCTCTGAATGATATTGTATGCAACGAACATTGTCTTGGTAGAATAAAAGCACGTTTTGGGCAATCAGTCTCAGTCCATGACTCCATTCTTCGGCAACTACGGTGCAAGGCCGATACTGTAGAAACTTGCAATTTGTACCCTTGACCTGACCTTGACCTTGACCTCAAACTTAAAATTAAGTACATGTTTATAGTTGTTCGTGATGGGATCTTTCGATTGGCGTTCGAATTTTCCAAATCGGACCATTAGTTCGGGAGATAACAAGGGGGGTAAAATTTACCCCCCCCCCAGCCCCGCGCGTTCGGCTGGAGACCCCAGCCCTGCGCGGGTTAAGTAAGTGGGGTAATTTGAACATGTGGGGCAATTTGAACATGGTATGAATAACACAAAATTACGGAAAACCATAAGTGGCGCGACAATAAGACCTATGAGGGAAATTATCGTTACTAAAAGGGGTATCATATGAACGGGGTTTAAAGTTTCAGGGAAAGAAGATGTTGACGCACACTGCAAAAAAAAACAATTTTGCAAGTAAAAACCCCTAACAACACGTCATTGCAACTTCGTTGCAGTGCAAAGTCTTATATAACTACATAGTGCCTAATACGCAACGGCTATTGTTGTACAATGAACTAATAAGTGCCTTCAATCCAAGAAATTTGCTTTTGAAATCTGTTTTTAAATTTGACAAAATAAATTATAGTGTGGGGTACCTAATTTGAACAAAGTGTGAGAGTTTTAATGAAGACATGGATAGCTCCGAAAAAACAACGCTCCTTGTTTTTGTTTTTGCCAATGTCTTCGATCCAAAGCAGAAGCACATAATTGATGACAGTCTTATAAAATGTATGCCTTATGTCCGTCCAATGTCCGGCATTTTTGTTGATCTTCCGCCAAAAAATGTTCAAGTCAGCAATTTGTCCTAATATGTCCGAAAGTTATGCAGAAATCAACACTCAAATTCATCATTTACATTGCTTATAATCTAAATTTACCAGCCGATAAGTGTTTTTTATGTTGAGAGCTTCACTAAGCTTTCCATTCGCCAATCAACGCCATGCAAGATTACTTTTTAAAAATGCTGAAGTGTAGCAAGCCATCGTACAATGTTGTCCAGTCTGCTACCTTTGACCAACCAATTCCGTATTGGACATAGGACAAATCGAAACTGTGAATGTCCAGGTTCCCATCGGCACCACTATAACAGATGAAGTAAGGTTGGGAGAGTTTTACTTTTATCGAACGGAAATGATAGACGTTCTGTGAATTGAAGATAGGCGACTTCTGTCGACTTACCGGTGTGCAGCGTGCAGATATTGATACCCTGCACTGCAACGGTTATTTCTGTTGTGTTTTTTTCCAAAAAAAGGTATGTTTAGCATTGTTCTGCCTATTTGTTTATGGATCAAACAACATCGGTGCTGGCGAGATTATCATTTTTATGGCAAGTAAAGGCAGTATGTTCAAATTACCCCACGGTGGGGCAATTTGAACACACCGTGACTCGGTGGAGAAGTGAGGCTATGCTATTCAAACTATACTCGGCTCGTCAAAAAAATGAGGCTTACATGGTGGAAGGAAGTGATATTTGCGCTACTGAAACAGTTTTTCTTTATCCAGTGTTGAGCTGGAATTTGGTGCGACGAGGAAGACTTCAAAATATGTTCAAATTACCCCCACCCTACCCTACGACCTTGGGTTGGTGCTGTGCAGCTCAGAAGCCCAGTGGTCACCCCGTATGCCGACATGGTTCCTTAAAGTGACCATCCCACCTTAACCCGCGCCCCGTAGGGCTACCGGCGGACCCTACCACCCGTAGGGGGGGGGGCGTTTCGGCCCCCCCCCCTAAGATCTCGGAAATTTACCGGCCGATTTTAAAAATTCGAACGGCGTCCGATAGCCCCACCCGGGAACTACCCTGTGACCAAATTTCATTGACCTAGGTCAAACCGATGACGTCACAGGTCAGCTCAAAGGTCAGATTTTCACCGTTCACAGGCATTTCAAGAAATTTGTTGTGAAATCGAGTAAATTGGTAAGTTATTGAAAACCATCGATGGTACATTGTTCGTCAAAAACAGGGGTCGGCAAATGGTGGGGCATGCCCCCTTTGGGGGTAATGGCGCCCTTCGGCGGGGGGTAATGAGGGCCTCTGAGAAAGCCTCATCTTTTTTAGAATTAATGGCTCCCTTGATGGGACAAACATCGCAACTGTTGTGCCCCAGGATTCAAAGATTAGTCGAGGTCAAACTCACAAAGCATGAACTGATTAGCTGGCGCATGCCAATTTTCATGTATGATGTAGCTGCTCACCATTCCGTACAGTCGTGGAAAGTAACTGTCATGTACTAGCCGGCGCTCGTCTATTGGCGTTTTCACAGTCACTAACGCAAGGGAGAGGAGTCGTCCATTGCACCCTGACCTGAGCATCTCGGTCTCTGAGCTGGAGCTTTGCAGAAAAATTGAGCGTGTTGCCCGTGAAGATAAGCAGCCGCTGCTACCCAATTTAAAGGTCGTTGGTCATTGGGTGACCTTCCATAGGTCAATAAAACTGCCGAGTTAATCGGGTCCTGCTGTAACTTCTTGAAGTGAGATTTTGTGGCCTGCCATGGTCTCAAGAAAGATCTCACAAATCAACGGTTATTCGGGTTAAGGTCATGCCATTTTCAGGACAGATAAAAATGATCGGCTCGATGGTACAGTTTTTTTTTCGTGATCCGACCCTTTTAACGTGATCTATTCTCGAAAAATACCCGCTACCCCTATACGTATGGGGGTTAACCCGCGCCCCGCTGGGGCTCCTGGATTTCCACGCCCTGCTGGAGATGGAGGCTGAACACCCCCTATTAACTTGGCTCCTGGGTCACTAGCGAAACGCCGTAGTCGGCGATCGAAAGAGCGTAAGAAATGATGAAGAAAAAACTGGTCACCTTTTAGGTCAAATCAAAGGTCAGGTCACCAGAGGTCATCGAACGTAAAATTTCGCCAATTTCCAGGTCAACCTTTGACAATTTTCGACAAACTGGCCTATAGTTAGCTCAGGAAAGGATAGAGCTACAGCGCTGCGGAAAAACGCATTCGATAGGTCTCTTAACGTTTTTTCTGATGCCTGCCCTCAGATTCAACCGAAGATGGTTTAGCCTGCAGGAGACAAAAACTGCCAAAATGTACGTTGCTTGCTGATAGTATTTCTTAAATAACTTTTCACTCAAAACTTGCAAGAGCTTACTTTTATCAGCATCGTGATCCTCCCGTCGAGAAGCATCGAAGGTTTTGTTGCACATCAGTCGATCCGTATCGTCGAGCTGAACACATCTAAGGCATTTTCATCGCTCTGGGATGCCTTTATCAAAAGTTATTAGCGAATAGCTGTTAGATACCATTCATGACCTGAAATGACCTCAGGGACATACAGTGGGGTTACGGGTGCAATTTTCCGGTTCAGCGGTCATGTTTACTTGTAAATAAGAGTGTCACAGTGTTAGGAATGACACTGGTCCAAAAGAGGCGCCTTTCAATTTTCTACCATTGACTTTGCGCCCTCTCCCATTGATAAGGGGAGAGGGCGTGAAATTGACCTGAACTTGGGTCACCGACATCAAATCTCCGAGATACAAATTTTGTACATGTTGTTGCCTTTATCAATTCCTGAAAGTTTGAAAGAGATCTGTCACTCAATGCAGCTAAAGCAGGCGTTGCAGTCTTTACTGAGGTGAGGTCACTTGACGTGATCTGGTGACCTGACCTTGAGTGACTCTGGTCTGAAATATTCACAACATGTGCAGAAACGATGTATGATAAAATGTTCCAAAATGGTGGCGCTCCGTGCCAACATTTTTGAGATATTTGCGAGAAACCGCAGGGGAGGGGGCCTGCGTTTCTCGCAGATATGGTACCCGAAGAGTCACGGAAAAGTATGGAATTTCAGTAACCTTGGTTGTATCACCAATGGGGTCTGGTAACTAGGTGGGGGTAATGGCCCTGCCTGGCGCCAAAAAAGGGGGCACGACCCCGGAGGACCTGCCGACCACTGGTCAAAAACATACTTCGCTATCTGAGGTCACTAATACCAGGTCAGGTCACAGAGGTCAGGTCACTGGAGGGTCACAATATGAAAGTGTCGTGTGATACATGTTTTATGGTCCATTTTACATGACAAATGCGATTATGTGGGTCAGGCAGCCTTTGGGGCCAGCTAAGGTCACGTTTTGGTGAAGGTTAGGTCAAGGTCAGGTCATATAAGGTCAAATTTCAAAGTTTATATTTTTGCATAAAATGGGTATCGATTCGATGCAGCTCGTCACGGGGAGTCCAATGGTGGTCTTTGTTTTGCCCTAAGTGGTCTACAATTGCCAAAAATCGAGTTTGAAAATTTGACGTCATCATTTTTGAACAGTTTTTTTTCGCTATAACTTGGCCAAAAAACGAGATATCGATCTGAAATATGGTATGTAGATAGAAGACGGTAGGTACTATCACATATATTCCGGTTTTTTCGAAACTCAAAAAACTTTTTGGATTTTTTGGCTAATACATATGT